GACTAGGGAAATAATCTTCAACCCAGAATGGATCGCTGGGAAGAGATTTGGGGGTGCTCATGAGTCATTGGTTCATTTTGATTATGAATGTATTCATCTGCAATAGTAATGAGTATCGAATTTACGCATAATGAGTTGGAACCATTGAACTGTAAGGTACAATGGTAAACTTGCCTGTACACCCAACTGAACGATCGAGGACCGATCGATCATAGGACATTGAACTCACGTCCGCCATGGGTTGGTGCACCCAATTGAATTCATTCATACAGTAGTATGAACACCGCACGCAAGAATGAACGGAGAGGGGTAAGGGTTATGAGTTAATCGCGGTGAGCGCCGCGAGTAGGATAAGCAAATGCATGTATGTACGAAGGGGATATGATGCTATGGTGCGAAGTACCGCGAAAAACATAGAACTCACAAGCGCATATATAGCTGTTCGTGAGGAAGGGCCAAAAAGCCAAAAATCAAAGATCCAAAAAAACCAAAGTCGAACGTGAATATCACACAATCAAAGCCCAACATCAACCCGAACCCGAAGGACGAACGAAAGAAGGAACTGAATAATTAGCTGGGAGCGGCGGTTCAAGAGCAGTGATCCTACATGCTTCTGTTAACCGTTGACGGAGCGCGTCGCTGTGCTGCTGATTGGCTGATCAAACATAAAACTGAACGCCCCTACATCACCTCAGAGGGACAAAACCTACCTGGACATTCCCACAACGCATTCATCACATCTACAATTTGCAAGATGGATTTCGCGAGCTTGAGCGCGTCGTCAAGCGATCGATCATTTCTCCATAACATAAGACATCTGGAAATACGACCTAATTTTAGCAATGTGAAGGGAACAAAATCGAACAAAAGACGCACATAGCAAGCTGGTTCAAGAACCACGTAACGCGAAATGGACGTCGAGTCAGCTGATATCCCTCAGGAGTATTCAGCTGGTGGATCGTAGCCGTAACACGCCGTATGACTTGGTCTTGATAAAACACTGTACACGATAAGTTTTTTACCAAAGGCGTAAGGGAGAAAGGAGCGCTTACACCATTCCTCCGCCTGTTTCCGCTTAAAGAGGGGGCCTGGGGTGTTCTTGGGGCCGCTATCCAGACCATGCATGCTAAATCAAACCGTGGGTTCAACGTTGGGAGGAAAACGCACGAGATGCAAGTCGGTACGAACCGGCGTAAATCTTGGGTAACCTTCATCCGCGTGCTACCAAAGTCGAACAAAAAAAACATCAGCCCAATTCAAAGTAAATGAAGGAGGAGAAAAAAAGTACGCACTTTGAAATAATCTCTCGACACATATACACAACCCCTACCTCCAACCCACACCCATGCCCATCTAGCGCATCCTCAATTGCCTGTGCCTCAACCCACGTCTCCTGAATATCCTCCGCCTTTTGCTCCTCATCAACTAAGACATCATCT